TGGCTCATGGTGTCCCCAGTGGTGGCTAGAGTCAAGGAGAACAAGGAGAACAGACCTTAGTCTGACTGGAATCTAGGGCCCAGTGCCTGGCTTCCACCTATGGACAGAGGAACCCAGCTGACACTTTCTCCTGGCCAGGATAATGCCTGGGTCTCTTCTCTTGATCCTGGTCCAGGGACTAGGACCTCAGTGCCTGGCCAGACTCCCCAGGGGATCCCCAGGAAGCAGTGTCCTCCAGGACCCATGCTGTTGCTGGTGGCAATGAAGACCCCCACCTGGCCTCAGATCTGTGATTCTCTGCAGGGACGCTCCTAGAAGCTGTCAGGGAAGCTTTGAAGGAGGGGCTGCCCGAGGAGAGGACAGCTCCTTCAAAAACCGTGAGGCCACGGGAGAGGACAGCAGGAGAGGGTAAGGCTGGAGACACAGCACAAAGCATAGAGGGACCCCACTACTGCCTATCCCAGGCTTCACTCTGAGGGACCCCTACATATACATGTGGACATGCCCACAGGGACCAGCTCCTCCAGATCCAGCAAGGAGGCCAGCCCTCAGCTCCATCTTGGGAGAGCCTGAATAAGCTTGTTGTAGGGCAGAAGTTTGGGGGTGGTTGGCCTCCTCAGTTCAAACCTAGGTGACCATGTGCAAGGTTCCTCCATGAATAGACCTCCCAGCCCTGACCTCCCCCAGCTACATTATGGGGAAATTGAAGCCTGGCCATCAGTGTGAGCAAATTTTGCTTATAGCCTAGACCTGGGCCCTTCTCTGAACATAACAGAAGCTGGTGGCCGAGAGTAGCCTCTAAGCAAATGAGAGCTGGAGAGACCTTCAGCGATAGACTGCCTTCATGCCCCTGGAGAGACAGATAGACAGCATTTCTGGCTGTCCTTCTGGGGCTCTGTGGCCAGTTTTCCCTGAGGTCTTGGGTCCACATATAGTCTACCTCTGTCTGACGCTATTAGCAGTGCTACTGTCTCTCCTAGCTTTAGCATTTTGGTATGCTAGGGTAAGGCCGCCAGCCAGGGTGCTGGTATGAGGGCTCAGGTGCAGGCCTCAGGTGCAGGCCTCTCGTATTCTAGTACTTTCTGGTTTGACCTGGTCTTGAGGGGGTGGGCTCCCAGGAGGTGAGGACTGTGGGCCTTACCTTGACCAGCTCGCCTACTGCTCTCCTACCCCCACCCCAGATCCTCCCTTGTGAGAGGAGGCTGGTCCAGATTTCTAGGTCCACCTATCCATGGAGAATGTCCGGAATGCTCATGACCTCAGTAGGTGAGCCCTGGTGTTTGCTTAATGGGATTCCTGGCTAGCTCAGCCAAGGGCACCAGGCACGTGGGACCAGGAATACACACACCAGGGCAAAACAAACTGCTAGAGACCCAAGCCTGAAGGCACGCAGACTCTGAACAGGCTTGGACACGTGGGCCTGCCCTTGGGGAAAGTAGGCCAGGACCTTAGGCCTAGGTCCACGGAATGACACTGGGGCTCCCTACAGCCTGCAAAAGACTCACTTCCAGGAGGCTTCTACGGCTGAAGCGGGGCAGGGAGCAGGAAATTCATATAACACACTGCTGGTAAAGATGGAACACCCAGGTCCAGTAGGTGTTTTACTGTTTTCCGGGTTGAAGGGAGGCCCAGCATGCTAGAGTGTGTGGTAGGTTCGGCAGTGGAAGGGGAGGAGGCCCTAGCAGGGCAAGGAGGGCGGAAGAACTGGCTCCAAGTTCAAATTCCAGCTACACACGCTGAGTGACCTTGGGGAGGGGTCAGCTTAATCACCTGGGTTCTTGGCTGTCCTCGTGGGAGCTGGGTGTGGCCCTGGAATGGGATGGGGGAGTCCCTTGGCTGGGTCCTTCTCGGGGAGCAAAGTTCAGGAATCATCAGGTGGGAGCAATAGAGGCTGAGCCGAACTGGAAAGTTATTGGTGGGAGGGGCTGGGTGCCCCTGAAGAGACCCAGGCAGGCTGGGAGGGATGGACCGACCAGTCCTAGACAACAGACTGGACTAGCAGAGGTCTGTGCACAGGTAAGACCACAGAGTCTAGTGTGGGAGGGGCCCCAGCAGTGCCCTGCCTCCTTCAACAGTCAAAGAAGGTTGCACGGGGGAGATAGTAGAGAGATGGTCTGTGGATGTGCCTTCCCCTTCTCTGCCTTTGTGCAGTAGCACAGACTAGTGAGTCCCAGGGACCTTGGGCAGCCAAGCCGTGGGTATCCACAGGGCCTCCCCTCCACCATAGCCTCTCCCTGCTCCCCTGAGACTCCACACCCCGACTCTGGCCTGGAGACTGACCTAGCCTGATGTTTCCCCGGCTATGGGTTTCTTTTGGGCTCAGACAGGCAGGAAAAGTCAACCTTCCGGCACTTGGGTGGTATGCCCACGCCACAGTCAGATCCTAAGAAGGTCCAGCCTGCTGGATGGAATGAAGGCCCTCCCTTCCTCACCACCTCTCTTGTCAACTGCCAGGTTCCCCTCATCCGCTTCAGGGCTGGGAGGGGGCCGGGACCAGGGCGAGTGAGTCACACACCACCGGCTTAAAAATATCACTGAAAACTGGCCGCCGCCCGCTGGACCGACGGGGCCTCAGCCGAGCGGTTCTTGAGCTAAAAGTCCAAGGGAGGCTCAGGCCCAGCCTCTCTCCCAAGTTCCTATGTCCCACGCCGCATCCGCAACCCCCAAACTTAGGCTTAAGCTGTCCTCAGAGTCCCGCGATACAGGTCATCACAAACCTCACACTCAGGTGTCCTCAGCTCCGGTGCTGGGTTGCCCTCCAAACCCAGAGCCCGACCCAGAGATCCATATCTCATGGCCACTCTGGGAAACTGAGGCCCAGATTGGCAAACTCCCTGGCTGAAGCGCTCACCTGTTCGCCGGCAGCCAGCGCCTGCGCTTGGCTAGTCCCCTAGGTCAGTCTGTCAGCCCGGCCGTCTGTCAGAGCTTCACCGACAGTGGAGCTCCCTCTCCCCGGACAGGCGGGACCTCTGCTGGGCCGGATAGGCCGGGGCGGGGCTGTGAGAGGAGGAACCTGAGCGACAGGTTACCGAGTCACCCGGGAGTAGGCACCAGGGAGGCTGAAGGAAGGGGGCGGGCCTGGGGCACCACTCCCCTCCCCATATCGTTTCCCCCCCTTCCCTGAACAGCACAGTTCCTCCTCCCTCGCCTCCGTCTGTCCTCCCAGCGGTCCCTAAAAGCACCTGGGGCCCCACCGCAGCTAGCCCTGGAGTGCAGGGTGCGGCCCCAGCTGCTCTAACAGGCTAAGCTGCAGAAGCAGGTGGGGACCTGGACCGGCCTGCAGAGGCAGTACTGGATGAAGCCTAAAAGGGCTGCAGTCATGCGGGAGCTCTCAACCCAGACCCTATCAGGTGCCCTCCACCCCCAAGTTGCCTGGGACAGAGCTCTTTAGTGGTTTAGTCTGCGGCCTGGGATTTTGGGTTCCAGGCTTTTGAGCCCAGGAGCTTTTAACTCCCGGGTGCGGGCCTCTCCCTCCTTCACATATAGGAGCTCCTAAAGTACCTACGTACCCCTGAGAGATGGGCTATTTATGGAGAGCCCGGGTACCTGTCCTCACCGTGTTAGCTCCCAGAATATCCTGCCCACTCTGCTGACAGTTCGGGCCAGAGTTGGGTGAATTTAGAGCCGAAACTAGTTGACTAGGAGGAAAAAATGGAGTTATGGCCCGCTAGCCAAGGGTACTGCCCTTATGTGAACAAGGGACCCTAAGGCCCCGGCTATTGTTCCCAGAGTTGGGGCAGAGGAAATGGGTGCTGCCAGGAAGTCAGGGTCCCAGGCTACAGTCCCAGAAGGCAGGGCCCTGACTTGTTTGTCCTGGGCGGGCAGTCAGCCCTCCCTAGGGCATTGAGTGCTCTGTCCCCCAGGGCTAGCAGCATATCTGACCCACCTGACACACTCCAGGACACCACAGGTAGGCTGGACAGAAGGGTGGCAGAAGTGGACTTGGTCCTCCAGGCCCAGCTACTGATGAGCCCCAGAGATGCTTCCTGGTTCCCAGCCCTTACAGCTGATCTCACAGAACTGGCCCAATCTTGCTCTGCCTGTGACCTTCCCCTGGCCCAGCAAGCAGAGGTCAAGTGCTCAGCTGTGGGAAGGGAGGGGCAGGGGTTTGTGTCTGCCCTGACATTCCTGGGCAGAGCTGGAGATGGGTGAAGTGTGGGGAAACGTGTAAGGCAGCTCAGGTGGGGCTCCCTAGGGCTGCTACCAGTGCTCCCTGACTCTGCTGTGAGGCAGCCCAAGCTGGTGGTAGTAGCTGACGCCCTCTCTGGGCCACCGGAAACACCACCTCCACGTGGCCAGTAAGAGTAGAGGTGCTTTGTTTTGTTTTGTAGGTTTTATCAGGATAGGGTCTCTCTCTGTCACAGCCCTGCCTGCTCTGGAACTGTGTAGACCAGGCTGGCCTCAAACTCACAGAGATCTGCCTGCCTCCGCCTCCTGAGTGCTGTGGTTAAAGGCGTGCGCCACAAGAGTACAAGTGTTAAAGGCTTGAAACTCTGGCTTACTATGTGAAATTGGCAAGCTTCCTTCCCAACAGAGGTCCTGACTTGAGCTGCAGGGAGTGGCTGAGACCCCCAGAGCCACTAGCCTTAGTCCATTTTGCATACCCAGGTAATATTTGCTCAAGGGTCAAAGGGAAGGGAAGTGCCCCTAGGCTTTCTAGGTCACTGGTCCTTCCCTAGCCCGCCTTGGGGACAGGGAGAGAATGTCTCCAGGCCATCCTAATCTTCACCATGGTCTCCAGGAGGTATGGGTTAAAGGAAACCAGCCAAGGACCCATGGGCATAAAGGTTCCCTGGTCCCAGAGAAGGCTCTGATGGCCCAGCAACCTACCACTCTCAACACACTTCACAGGCAGGCTTCTGGATAGTTACTGGGGTGGAGAGAAGACAGGTAGAGGTAGCAGGGCAAGTCCCAGGATCGGGTTAAACAGTGACAACAGGATGGGTTCCGGTATGCTGGACCGGGGCGGAAGGTAGGTGGTTATAATTAAGACAAAATCATGACAGCAAAATTATTTATTTTTTAAAAGAGAAACTAGATATTTGAACATAGTATCACAAACAGAAAACATGTAACAGACACAAATGAAAGAACCTGAAAAAAAAATACTTTTTAAGAAAAAATGGGCTAGGACGAGAAAAGTAAGAGATGAGATGGAACTCACTTGGCACTTGATAAAGCGGCAGTTTAGTGGGCTGTGACAGACGTCCCAGACTGAGAACTGGTCTTCCACTGTCTCTGTCCCATACAGCCCACCCCCACCAAAAGAGGCTGAAGTGAACATCGCAATACATGGCTCTCTGTCCTGTTTACGTTTTTAAAAATAATCTATTTTTATGTTATGTGCATTGGTGTTTTGCCTGCATATATGTCTGTGTGATGATGTTGGATCCACTGTAATTGGAATTATAGACAAGTGTGAGCTGCCAAGTAGGTGCTGAGAATTGAACCTGGGTTCTCTGGAAGATCAGCCAGTGCTCTCCAGCCTCCCCTCCACCATTTTTTTTTTCTTTTTAAGACAAAGTTTCACTATGTAACCTGCAATTCACTATGTAGACCAGGCTGACTTTGAACTTACAAAGATATGTTTGCCTCTACCTCCTGTGTGCCACCACACCTGATAAACATTTGCTTTTGGAAACCAAACACAAAGCCTGCCATCCTGCAGCTTCAGAGGGATCCCAGGCCTGGACAAAGGCCTGGATAGAGTACAGCAGGTTCTCAGAACAAGAACCAGGGTCAGTGTGGGAAGCACGGAAGTCAGTAATTCCTGTGTGAGAAAACACACGGTGACAGACCAACACAGCCAAGTCCTCCTGCCAAGATGCTGCATTTATAGGGTTGAGACAGGGTGGAGCAGCTGGGCTGCCCTCAGTGTTGACTTCCTGAAAGACTTTGCCTTCCACTGGCCTGGTGATCACTGGTGGTCCTGCTGCTACAGCCAGGACCCCGACCATACAACCGGAGTGGACATCTCTGGGGTTGACTACTGTTCATGATAATCATCTTCAACACCTACACTCCTAACAGTTTGCCCCCCCCCTGGTTCCTGTACTCCCGCTCACTAAAAAGGTTTATAAACCATCTACATCCATTTATAGACAATCAATAAAAAAAAAGATACCCATTGTGTCTGAGAGCAAAGGAGTTGGCTGGAGGCCAAGGAGCACTGCTGTGTAGGTTGTCCTGGTCTGTCTACCTGATGAAGTCAGCAATGACCACCACCTGCAAGCCAGCCTCCAGCCCATGTAGCACCAGGAGAATGGTGCTGAAGACCGAGTCCATCCACAGTACCAAGGTCTGCCAGAGCAGGAAGTAAACAGAAAGGAGGACACTGACTGCTGTGAATGCCAGGCTGGCAGCCAGTGGCACTTCAGCCTCCGTCAGGTTGCCTTTTGTGCCTGGAAGAGAGCAAACATGAGGTTAAGGCAGGGGCTTCAGGGCACCCCACCATCTACCCAGCTCCGGGTACTGTGGTTGCTAAGGGTCAATGAATTCATGGGATTTGGGAAAACTGTTCAACAGGGCCACGCCATATCAGAAAGTACCAACGGGTAAATCTCAGATTCTGTGCTCTTGAGACACAAGCAGTGTGGATTTAAAACTGTGGGCATCTCCACCTTTTCTAAATCCAAGTGGGATCAAAAGGATTTTGTTTAAAATATCTAAAAATATTTTACTCTGGGCTAAGGCAGGCTGGTTCTGGAAAATTTCATGAGTACTTATGAAAAACATTACAAACAAATGGGTCAGCCATGGAAAATGCCAACTTGGAGCTGCTAATAGCTGAATAGCTGCTAGAGGTGCTAGAGGGTCTGCTGACCCCAGCGGTTAGGGGACTCTGAAGATCCACTGGTCCCAGCCCCGGGCTTCTGATTATGCTGATCCTAACGGATGGGAGGCACTGAGGGGCCTGCTGAGTGCCAAGTGCTTGGAGAAATCCAATGATGACAGACCCCTAAAGAGGGCACTGTAAGGGGTTGGCCTGACTCTTCATTGACGCAATGCCCGTCTCTGCAACCCATGGGCAGCACTGCCTACTAAGAAGTGCAAGCTCCAGCACAGTCCACAGTAGTAGACACTGGGGCTCTGTCTACAAGGAACAGACAGGATACTTGCTACTCCCAGCAGACAGGGAGGGAAAGTAAAAAGATCCAATCAAAGGAAAGGGATCAGAGCCGGAAAGTGCAATGTACCTGGGTGAGGAGCCCTATTTACACATGCCTGCCACTGAGTGCAGGGAAGAGCAGGGGCAGAGCTAGAGACCTAGCCGTGTGCTCATCGCTGCAGCTAGCTCTGGGAGGAGGACTTCCAGGTTTTACTTTTGCACTCCTTGTCTATTAGAAGAACCTACCTGTCCTAACCGTAACCCTAATCTAAGTGAATTGTGTGACTCAGAAAAACACAAAGGGATGGGGATACAGTGCTTGCCTAGCATGTGTGAGCCCTGGGTTTGATCCTACCAATGCATAAAATCTGGACATGATGATGCATGCCTACAATTTCAACAGTCAGGAGGAAGAGACTGAAGGATCAGGAGTTCAAGACCAGCCTTAGTTACATAGGACTGGATAGATAGATAGATAGATAGATAGATAGATAGATAGATAGATAGATAGA